AAGACGAAGGATGCTATGCAGTAGACTACTGAAGCAGGTGCTTACAACCTCCCTCTCATGAGACTCTCCCATTTTGTGTTTACAAGAGTATAAACCCACCCTATATACAACTCAGAAGCCCTCTCAAAACATCTGCAAGTCTAAGTACAAGAAAAATAAACCTTATAACAACAAGCTCTTGGTTTTTCTCTATTTCGGCTTCTTGTGCTTATGTTGACGATTATCACCAACTTTGGAGAAGCCCTCAACTGGTAGTGATGTCTTCAAACATTCCCAATCTCGTATTGCTCTTCATTTGGGCAGAAATCGCACAGCTTCAACAATATTACTTTCCTTCTCGGTAATAGTCAGCTTGATTCTTTCATATGCGGCTTCAATCAATTAGCCGTTGCTAATCTTTGAGTTTCCCTTCGTGGATACACCGAATATGGTGATGATCTTTGCTTGATGGATTGCCAAACACCATAAATAACTTTCCATGTGTAGCTGGTTCTTTACATGGTCGCCGGTTCTGTGCTCTCAAGCTGTGCAGCTTCATGATTCTCTACAAATATAAGTCGATCAATTATCGATTCCTTAATCATGGAATTCTTTCTTGACGAGGGTTGACCGAAATTCTTTCGCTTGATTACGCATATTTTGGCTTCTCAAAAACAGTAATTTTGCACAGTATCATGCCGCTATAATGTAAATATCGCGTGGTGCTATGACCCACATATGCAACACTCAACATTTTTTTATCTCCTTGTAACAACTATGCTATAATGCTAGTAATATGATATGGAGTTTGGTTATCATCAAGATGATCGAGCAAGAGGTCCAACACCATGAAACTCAGTCAAACAAGCTGCACTTTGGGTGGCAAACAAACGTTCAAGTGCCTTCCAAACATCAAGTGCATGGGCGAGACCGGCGATATTGGTCACCATGGCGTCCGAGATACTATTGAGAAGCCATGCAAGTGTTATTTAACCGTGTGATAGCCAAGTTTCATACTTCGTATCTGAAGTGATATCAGAAGTGTTTTTCATCATCAGAAAGCTCTGAAACTATTGGCACTGGAATGGGTGCAGAACCATTAACAGATCTCCACAATCCATTGGCAACAAGCAGAGTTTGGACTTGTGCCTTTCAAGTGACAAAGTCGTCCTCGTGTAGTTGAATGGCAACATTAGGTAATGTGTTCTGCAAAGGAGTTATCAATTTTGATTGTAATGATTACTGAGACTCCAATGCCATGTTATAAATCAAACACCAATCTTGAAGTGCTCTCACTTGTACTTCATGACGATGAAGTACCCGTATATATAGGCAAGTTATAATTAGTTTGTCAAATACTTAAAATACAATAGAGAAACAAATGATTACAAATAAATGTTTAACCCAATAAATCCCAACTACAAATTTATTTGAATTACAAAATCAAATATGAGTGCAACTAATTTTGACTGGATGAAAATTCGGTTGATAAACACAACCCCTTAAAAAACAGGTTCTCTCACTTTTATATCTAGTCTTAGTCTTGGGGTGTAAACGAGGAAAATAAATGATATGGAGAACATTTTTCGGAAAATGATAAGTTTGTATCTCTTATAAAAATGGATCAACGAAAATATTTAAGTACAAATTGTTGTACATAATCATTTCAAGCAATACAAGCAAAAAATTTTTAGAAAATATATTCCAAATTATTAATTTTCTGCGAAACAAATGATCTAATTCCCCGTGCCAACCATGTACTATTTTACTGTTCATTATATCACCAAGCCATTTATGGAAAGGTTGAGTTTGACGTATATATCTGTTTTCAACTGCTGTTTTAATCGCATTTTAATATAGTCTTGATTATTGACTTCAATGAAGACTAAGTATCATGTTTCTAAATCCTTACCAAAAAAAAAGTATCATGTTTCTAACCACTGCCCGCAGCGGCTGCGTTGGCTTGCGCTCTCATCCCCTCACGAAGGGATCAGAGTTCGAACCCCAGCCTAGTCGTTAGGGATTCTTAAGTGTGGCGCCGTGGTGGTGGGTCCTGCGCTAGCGTCACCCCAGGTTTACCCCTCCGGCTGTCGGCCGTGCGGGGAGTTCCTGGGTCTTAAAAAAAAAAAGGATCATGTTTCTATCTCCTCACATGCGCTAATCTTATCACCTACTTTATGTGGACTTCCTCCTTATAATGAAAAACCTCAAGAATAATAAGTGATGATTAATATATATGTTGCTGTCCTGGGATATCATTCACCCAATAAAATAAGACCAACGTCTACCACGAAATATTTCAAAGCGTTCAACATCAACTCCAGGAAAAATGATCAGACTTGGGGACTAATCGGTCATGCATATCCTCTCTCATCGTAAATCAACCCGTGGTCATTGTATAATCATAATCTCTTCCGCCGGTCTTATACATAGGCGTATGCATACGTCGACTGTCCATGATCTTCTAAGCACCTGGCTGACATAAAACAGTTCTTAAACGCAAAGGAACGACTAACGTTCATGTCACTATGACATTGATCCGTAACCCTAATTTCTTCGCGACCGAGTTGTACGCGGTCTCAGAGATGGCATGCGCAGAATGGGCACCGCATGGATGCCCGAAATATGAAAACGACGACCCGTTTTGCGCAACTTTCACATGCGGTTGTCTGCGGCTGATGGAGGGACGTTTTTGGCAGGAAGTGTTGGGGCGACCACGCCATGCAATGCAAGAATCGGCCCGGTCCAGTCAGCAGTCAGCCAGCGTTCTTTGACCTTTTTTGTTTGGTGGGGCCCAGGACGACAATGCCTTGCCCGACACGTGTCGAACGTTGGCATTTTGATACGTCCAGATATTTCCTGCGACAGAAAGATATACAGGGATTTCATCCAGACGTGTCACGGTGTAGGATGGATACGTGAAGATTTTGCCCAGAGTTCTATGCCGAGAATGATTGGATTCACATTGCTAGCTTGCTTCGTGTTCCTATGTTTGTGGTCATTTGGCTAGCGAAAGTCTACAAAGTCTCGATGCACAAGGCTTGCTGAAGCGACTATGGAGAGAAATATCTTTTTTGGTCTTTACTAAAATTATGATGAAAGCTGTTTAATAAATAGAGAATATCGAATAAATACCTTACTAATCCAGGCGACACTGGAAAGCCCAAATATAACTTTAAATGGTAAAGAATTCGGAAAAATACACAAAAACCTAAAATGATGTCAAAAAAATTGACATAAAAAGTGAAAAGTGCCCCAAATCGCCTAGACGATTGATGTTGAGGTCCGAAACGAATGCTAGCAGGTTTCACAAATTAACCACAACATAGTGCTCAGAGGAGCTTTCCGAATTAGTATAATAGGCCCGGTAACTCTTCTTGGATAAAAAGTTATGGCCGTTTTTTCGCTTGCTCCGCAATTTTTATCTCAACCCGCTGGTCGGATCTATATCTGTCCACAAGTTCTTGAAAGTCAGTAGTAATTGTGTCCGCGTCACTTGGGGTGTACATTCACAAAAAAACTCAAATCAAGCATGGTCACACTATTTATCAAACAAGATTTTTGAAGTAACCTTATCAATAATCTTTGTTCAAATTGATTTTGCCAGATGTATGAATGACCATAAATACGTTGTAATTGATTGATCAATGCGGTAATAGGGCACCTTTGCCAAAATGCGTGCACAAGGTACACATGTTAATAATGTGTCAACCTCTTAAATTAAATGGGTTTGACGCTAATCCCGCCATGTCCATCTGAGTCTTAGGGTCCTTTTCTACGCTAGGCGCTTACGCACCATGCAAGGCATCACAGCATTGCTTATGCGTAGCAATGTCAATCTTGGAAATATGCCAATTAGCAATTTCAATTGAATGGATGGATGTTCATAAGGCCCTTGCATCATCTACTGTTAGGTACGGTCAATCCTATGACACAGCAACAAGCTTCACATACTTTACCTAATTATAATTTCGAATTTTCAGAAACATAAATGAATGGTGTCCGCTCCCTTCCTGATTGATGCACGATTATAGGGTAAACCCTCGACGTACGTGCACATCCCCAAAGCATTTCTTATCGACATTGGAAAACATAAAATTAAGATCTCATTGAAACCATGAGTGCCTTTTAAACATAGATGTCGGTTCTAAGAGATTTCTTTATGTTTTGCCATGCTTTGTGGAGGCCATGCACGACGGAACCTCAAGCAGAGGAAGCTTCCGAAGATTCCTCATCTGTTACCCCCGCACTTAGAATAATAGCTTATCTTCTCTCTAATCATGTGCTTAAACCGGTTTCCATTCTCAAAGTCATCCCCAGATTGTGAACATGAATAGGGAATTGAACAATGGTGCAATTACCTTTTACATACATGGAAAATTATCTCCGCTAGCTTAGATTGACCATTTTGCAAATTAGGGTGTAATCGAGCCGATGTAGTGTCTAACTCAAGCTCAACTCAACTCACCTATCTGGTGCTCAGAGCTCAAGTGGAGATTGATCGACTGAGTGTTAAACTTCGTGCTCGACCTCAACTTGAACAGGAGATCGATATATTTAAGGCTTACCTAATACTTAGCTCCATAACAATCAAAGTCATAAATTAGCTCAAGCTCGAATAAATCAATTTGCCCCTATTTGTACATATGTGTTCTTATATGTTTCTATCAATTTTTACAGCAATCAAGTGTTATTGAAAAACAGCAAGAGCTCGCTAAGCTGGGTTTCGCGGGCATGTTGAGCTGAGTATGGAGTAAGGGCATATTACGAGCCACAAATTTTTGAATGAGTGGGCCAAACAACAATGTCTAATTATTTATTATTTATATTTTTATGGTTTATAACATACTGTTAATCTCAAGTTGATTAAAAACTGTCACTCAATCATTTCTCTTCTAAAAATTAGGCGAGAGCTATACTCCAAATTTTGGCGAGTCAGATTTGAAAACCCCTTCTTGCAAGCCAAATTACATCTGCTGATGGAAAAGAAGAGAAGGAAAACAAGGCGAGAGGAGGAGGTGGGAAACTGAAGAACTCATAGACAAAACTGATAATCTGAACACACTTTTGGGATCAACATGACTTATCATCAAGCTCCGAACCAGCAAAGAAACACACGCTCAATCCGTTCTTCTGTCTTTACATGGAGAGCGTGTCTTCTCTCATAGCTTCTTCTGCACTTTTTTCTCTTCTTCAGCAAGAATTGACAGTTTAACACAGGGAAAGTAATATGAACAAAAAAAGGACCCAAATCGTGCAAAACACGAAGGGGATGGAGTCATTATAACCCTCGATCACCTCCAGAAAACTATTCTACATCGCGGAGCCTTCATAAATCGTGCTCAGCTTCATCCTAAACGAACGCACCGCGAGCTTCATTCGCTTTGAAGATCCTCTCTGCACCTTCCTCATGGACCCGGATCTCGAAAGGCTTGCCCCGCGGACCGCCTTCACATCTACGGCGAAGCTCTTCTTGATCTCGAACTCTTGGCTCCCGTATCGGGTGTTGCTATCGTCGCCGCGAGCTCCCCCATCGAAGTTCACCTCCAAGACGGGAGAGATCTGGGTCTTCCTCCGCCTGCGGCCGCCCCCTCGCTTCGCCACCTTCTGGAGGGCAACGCTGGCCTTGACGGCGAGGGCCGCCATGTCCGACGCCGTGACCCGCTGCTGGAGCTTGGACTCGGGGAGGACGAAGTAGATCTGGTTGGGCGAGAGCAGGTCGTTGGCGCGGAGAGCGGGTATGAACTCCTCGTAGTACAACCTGTCGGAGTTGCAGATGAAGCAGGGAGAGGAGGAGGAGTAGGTTTCGGCATGGAGGACTTGGGACACGGAGATGGGGACGTGGTACTCGTGGAGCTCGCCGCTCGCCGAGATCACTTTGGCCGTCCGCGACGGGTCGCTAACTTCTTGAGAGAAACAACCACCCATTTCCGGGAAGAGGAGGAGGATCGGCGAGCCGCAGATGAGAATTCCGTGGAGAAGATCTTATGGGAGAGCGAGAGAGAGAGGGAGAGGATGATGGAGGAGGAAAGACGAGTCAAGTGAAGGGCGTTCTTGATAAGAGAGAGTGAACGCGGTTCTTATAAGAGTCATGGCACGTTCAGCCTCCGGATTTGATTTGTTATTTTAGGTGGCGCGATTGATCATTCTGGCTACCTATCCTATTCACACCGGTGAAAATAATATACCCAGCGAAATTAACTTTCGAAATCCATATTTCATGTCACACGACGGTAACTGAACGGGCAAATATTTGAAAAACGGGTCTTGTTTCATCTATATGCTAAATACAATGAAAAAATTGGATGTTATTAACAAGTGTTTCGAAGACACCGATCGGATTAACTAAAATTAGGAATGACACATTCTTTAGGAACCCCTTTAGTCCAATAGGAAGATTTTACATGTCAAAATTTCGGAAGGCAAGAGTCAAATATATTTTTTGGCCTCGTGAATATGAAGTCTTTGTCGTCGTTTTCCACAGTTTTTCAAATGAAGTGCGGGGCGGTAACGCAAGCGAGGCCGTCACAAGGGGAGTTCTGTGACGGAAGGAAGGTTGACTATGGAGGCGAGGCAGTCATAAGTCCATAAGCGGTGACGTGGGTTCTATGGTGACACGCGGCGGCGGCAGCGGCGGTCGTTGCTCGTGGTACGGCCTGGCGAGCCAATGAAATGGGAAAGCTTGACGTACAAGGAAAAGTTCGAGTACGTACTCTCTCTCTTTCTCTTTCTCTCTTCTTTTGCCGGCAAGCAACTTTTTCGATTCACATACCGCATACACTAAATTCAACATAAACCGTACAATAGGATGGGATCCAAGTAATGCATATACGGAATTCAATTTGGACAGTAAGGTCCGATGAGTTTCGTTGCGCGACCTACATTCAATTTTTTGTACACAATATGTACGTATCATGATATTTCGAATCGGGGCGATTTCATGTAATGTGGCCGTACGTTATCTAATTGTAGACACGTGGAATTTTGCTAGGAATCGGAATTTGACTTCGGATGTGTTTTGTTTTTCGTTTCGCAAGCTTTTCACTTTTTCCAGGCATTCACATTGGTAAGGCTTGGGGGGTTCTAGTTTCCTGCTTTGCAGCTAATTCTTCTGGGTGGTACCACGGACACACAATACTGACTTTCAATTCATCAATTTAATGACTTTTTTTTAGGGAAAAAACCACCAAAAACCCCAAACTTTGCCATCTGTGACACATTTACCCCGAACTTTTTTTTGTGACACCAAAAACCCCGAACTTTACTTTTTGTGACACATTTACCCCAATGTATTTAATCCATGGGCATTTTCGTCTTTTTTGCTTTTTCTTTTTTTTTTTTTTTTTTTTTTCCTTTCCGTGAGGGCCCCCTCGCCGCGCCGAGCGAGGGCGGCCCTCGCCGAGATCCGGCGAGGGCGGCCCTCGCCGGCGTCGGGCAGGTGCGCCCTCGCCTGGGCGAGCGAGGGCGGCCCTCGCCGGCGTCGGGCGAGGTGCGCCCTCGCACAGGGCGAGCGAGGCGGCCCTCGCCCGACTCGAGCGATGTCGACCCTCGCCGGCGTCGGGCAAGGGTCGACCTCGCTCGAGTCGGGCGAGGTCCGCCCTCGCTGGGCGAGCGAGGCGGCCCTCGCCGGCGTCGGGCGAGGCGACCTCGCTCGACGCCGGCGAGGTCGCCTCGCTTGGGCGAGCGAGGCGGCCCTCGCCCGATCCGGGCGAGGTCGACCATCGCCGGCGTCGGGCGATGGTCGCCCTCGCTGGGCGAGTGAGGGCGACCCTCGCTCGACGCCGGCGAGGGTCGCCCTCGCCGGATCTGGTGAGGGCTGCCCTCGCCCGACGCCGACGAGGGTCGCCCTCGCCCGCCCAGGCGAGGGTCGCCCTCGCTCGCCCAGCGAGGCGACCATCGCCCGACGCCGGCGAGGGTCGACCTCGCCCGGATCGGGCGAGGGCCGCCTCGCTCGCCCGTGCGAGGCGGACCTCGCCCGACGCCGGCGAGCAGTAGCCTCGCCCGGGCGAGCGAGGGCGGCCCTCGCCCGACTCGAGCGAGGTCGACCCTCGCCCGACGCCGGCGAGGATCGACCTTGCCTCGAGTCGGGCGAGGGCCGCTCGTCGCCGCCCGAGGGCGCACCTCGCCGACGCCGGCGAGGGCCGCCCTCGCTCGCCCGGGCGAGGCGCACTCGCCGACGCCGGCTAGGGCCGCCTCGCCGGATCTGGCGAGGGCCGCCTCGCTCGGCCGGCAAGGGCCCCCTCGCCGGATCCGGTGATGGGCACCTCGCCGGATCCGGCGAGGCCCCCCTTGCCGGAAAGGAAAAAAAAAGAAAAAAAAAAAAGAAAAAGCAAAAAAGACGAAAATGCCCATGGACTAAATACATTGGGGTAAATGTGTCACAAAAAGCAAAGTTCGGGGTTTTTGGTGTCACAAAAAAAGTTCGGGGTAAATGTGTCACAGATGGCAAAATTTGGGGTTTTTGGTGGTTTTTTCCCTTTTTTTTATAAAAAACAAAAGATAGGAAAAATGCCAAAAAAGTCATAAACCTTTTACATTAGTGCCAATTTAGTCCTAAACCTTTTTTTGGTGCCAATTCAGTCCTAAACCTTTTGCATTGGTGCCAATTTGTACCAATGCAAAAAAGTCATAAACCTTTTGCATTAGTACCAATGCAAAAAAGTCATAAACCTTTTGCATGAGTACCAATGCAAAACCTTTTGCATTAGTACCAATGTAAAAGGTTTAGGACTGAATTGGCACCAATTTAGTCATAAATATTTTTTTGGTGCCAATTCAGTCTTAAATCTTTTAAATTGGTGCCAATTCAGTCCTAAACATTTTGTTTTTGTGCCAATTTAGGCTGCGCATGACAACGATTCTGTGCTCGGGAACAGATTCTGGTCAGAAATGATTCTTTTTTATTCTGTGCCCGGAATTGATTTTGAGCATTTTAAGGCGTTTGTTTAACGGCCCAAAATTCCATCCCTGGAATAGAAAAAGAATAGAAATGCGTTTGGTAACGACACAAAATTTCTTTTTATTAATAATATTTTTAAATATTTTAATATTTCTTTCTTTTTTTTCTTTTCTTCCTTCTTGGCCATAGCCTGCTCGCCGGCCATGAGTGTCAATTTTTTTTTATTAATAATATTTTTATTAAAAGTATTTTTTTCTTTTTTTTTGCCATGGCCTGGTCGCCGGCCATGACCGGTAAAATATTTTTTTTATTAATAAATTTTTTTATTAATATATATATTTTTTTGCCATGGTCTGGTTGCCGACCATGGCCGGTAAAATAATTTTTATTAATAATAATTTTTATTAATATATTTTTATTTTTTTTGGCCATGGATCGTAAAATATATTTTTTATTAAAATATTTTTATTAAAAATATATTTTTTTCTTTTTTTTGGCCATGGCCTGATTGCCGGCCATGGCCTGTAAAATATTTTTTTTATTAATATTTTTTTTATTAAAATATTTTATTAAAAATATACATTTTTATTTTTTTGGGCTATGGCCTGGTCGCCGGCCATGGCCGATAAAATATTTTTTTTATTAATAATATTTTTTATTAAAATATTTTTATTTTTTTTTGCCATGGCCTGGTCGCCGGCCATGGCTCGTAAAATATTTTTTTTATTAAAATATTTTTATTAAAAATATTTTCATTTCTTTTTTTTGGCCATGACCTGATCGCCGGCCATGGCCTGTGAAATATTTTTTTTATTAATAATTTTTTTTATTAAAAATATACATTTTTATTTTTTTTTGCCATGGCCTGGTCGCTGGCCATGGCCGGTAAAATAATTTTTTTATTAATAATATTTTTTATTAAAATATATATTTTTTCTTTTTTTTTCCATGGCCTGGTCACCGGCCATGGCAGGTAAAATATTTTTTTTATTAATAATTTTTTTTATTAAAATATTTTTATTAAAAATTTATATTTTTCTTTTTTATGGCCATGGCCTGGTCGCTGGCCATGGCGGGTAAAATATTTTTTATTAATAATATATTTTATTAAAATATTTTATTCTCGTCAGATCCGGCGAGGGCGGTCCTCAGGCCGGACATTAGAAGCTAAATTAAAAACCAAGAAAAGGAAGAAGAAAAAAAAATTGATTCTCAAAATTGTTCCCAGAATCAAGAAGCTACTTTTTTTTTTTCTTGATTCTTGAAAACTGATTATGGGAACAATTTTTGACAAAATTGTGCCCAGAATCAAAAAATTAAACAAACGCATTTCTGTTCCCAAACTGATTCTGGGAACAAAAGAACAGAATCAAACACTGTTTGGCAAGTTGTCATGCGCAGCCTTAGTCATTCCGGCAAATTTTGACCGGAGTTTGCCGACGTGGATGCCTACCGGTTGGCGGTCGGTCATCAGCGCCGACGTGGACAACTTTAATAATATTTTAATATTTTTTTGAATTATTATTTTTTTCCTTTTTTTTTCTTTTTATTTCCACTTTTTTGTTTTGGTCTTCCCTCCTTCCTCTGGCCGGCGAGCTCGACCTCGCCGGTGGCCGGCGAGGTCGAGCTCGCCGGATCTCGGTGAGGTCGGGCCTCGCCCGACCAAGGCGAGGCTCGCCCTCGTCGGGCGAGGCCGCCCTCGCCCGGTGGCCGACGAGGGCGAGCCTCGCCTTGGTCGGGCGAGCCTCGCCTTGGTCGGGCGAGGCCCGACCTCGCCGGATCTGGCAAGGTCGAGCCTCGCCCGACCAAGGCGAGGCTCGCCCTCGCCGGTGGCCCGGCGAGTCGAGCTCGCCGGCCTTTGGCCTCTGGCCGGTCGCTGGACCGGCGACTGGCCAGAGGAAGGAGGGAAGACAAAAAAAAAGTGAAAAAAAAGAAAAAAAAGTAAAAATTCAAAAAAACATTAAAATATTATTAAAGTTGTCCACGTCGGCGCCGGTGACCGGCCGCCAGCCGGCAGGCGTCCACGTCAGCAAATTCCCATCAAAATTGACCGGAAGGACTAAATTGGCACAAAAACAAAATGTTTAGGACTGAATTGGCAACAATTTAAAAGGTTTAGGACTGAATTGGCACAAAAAAAAGGCTTAGG